GCCTAATTCTAGGCTCCCAGTGTTCACTCTCTGTTTGAACTGTTAATTGAGATGATGTCTATGAAAGCCTCTTGTAAAGCTCAAGGAGCTATACATATGCTAATTGTCCTTCAGAAGATGTTTGTGTGCTTAACCATTCTTACCTCGTTTGTAACTATCTGTTTCCCAGCTACTCTGGATACAAACTGCGCAGGACAGGGACCATCAGCACTTTTGGTGTTCCTTGCATCTCCCTTCTTCCACTGAGGGGGCTCACCACCCCAAAAGCTCCGCTGCAGCAACCAGCTTGCAGTGGGTGCTCCTAAACCCTGGGACCTGCTATCTGTCTGCCAAGAGCAGGCCTGAAAAGAGGATCTTAAGCCTGGCTGATCCTCAGTCTCTTCTCCCAGCTCTTCCCCCAAACCGGGCCCTTACCTCACAGTTTATCTGCACGTAGAGAAGACACACTCATTTGGATGTTAGCGTGAAAAAAAAGAAAACTTAGTGTTTTTTAAAAAGGGAAACAAATGTTTTTAAAGTGCATCAGCTTTTAAGAAAAAATGGGGGAAAGTATAATCCTCCAGAGTTGGGAATCAGGTTTCCTTGCTGGAGATGTAAGGGTGAGGCCATTGCATCACGGGCTTCAGCCGGCACCCTGCAGCTCAGAAGTGTGGGAGAGGGGCTAAGATTCCCTGTTGTTGACTCAAGTTTAAGGCTGTTCAGGTGAAGTGCCCGTGTTCCCCACGTAGGAGCTGAAACTGGACTTGCTGTGACGGGTGTTTGCTCTCAGTAGCCTTATATTTTGGATTTTTCATAGTATTCCCAAAGTCTATTGCTCGTCTTACATCTTTGTGTTATTTAAACAGCACTTAGGCTGATAAATTTAAGAGGTGCAGGAAGTACGTACATGGACATACGGAAACCTCAAAAACTCCTTCTCTTGTTCTCCACCCCCACACACACCAAAACTGTCTCGAACCTAAAATGAGTATCTGAAGTTAACAATACTAAAGGCATAATAGCTGATAAAGTGGTTATTAAGGCCTTTGAAAATCATCATTTTGCGTCATTTATTTTTGTCCTTGATTCTGCACACACACAAAGTCAGGTATTAGGTAACCGTACTGGTGAACTGGCCACATAGCAAAAGCCAGCGAACCCGAGAGGTGTTTAATAAACACTTGTTGACTGATTGATGGACCACCCTGACCTGGGATTCCTTGGACAATACTGACTTTGTCAGAACACGAAGGTACATTGTTGTGCCTACTTAGTACCAAGCGTTTCTGCCACATTGAAAGAAGCAGGCCAGGCCAAAACTTGTCCATCAGCCCCCCTCCCCCGCTCAGGTTCACAAACCAACCCCCTTACCTTTCACACCCGTTTTCACTCTCACAGGACGGGTGGTGGGGGGAGGCTAGTCTCTGCTGAACAATGGGGTGCACCTGGAGGCACAGGCCTGAGGCAGGCCCAGCCGCCACTCCGCCTTCACCTCCTGGCTATGAATACTATCACCGCTGCCACCCATAGTTTGTGCAATTAAAAATCATAACCAGAAACTAAACAAAACTCTGAGCTGATTAAAAACCTGGAGAAAAACCCATATTTATAACCAATTTACAAAGCCCACCTAAGACTTCCTGCCTCATGCTGACAGAAACCAAAGTTTGAAATATCTAATTCCTCACTCCACAAGCTGTGGGCATCCCTGCCCACCCGGTTCCACTGACTGTTCCAGGGAGAGCCCAGGCTGGGACTCCTCTGCTTCTACCACCACTCCCTGTCTCTCCTCCTAGGCCTTTAGGCTGGGCTTGGGGCAGATGCTGTGGAAAGGGCTGGGCTCCTTTCGCCTGTTCTGTCCTGTACTCACCCGGCCTGTCTTTTGACCTACAGCTTTCTCATGACTTTCTGTTACTTGCTGATCTATACACCCTAGCTTTCCACGCATACCCCTTGCCTCCCCTGCCCACCTGCTTCCTAGGGTTGCCAGGTTTCTCTGCCTGACGCTACACTATTAACTGCTTCTCAACCGGCCGGCTGCCACGCGCACCTGTTCTCCACATCCAGCAAGCCCTGCAGCTGAACTGTGTTTTCATCACGAAGAATCCGTCACCCCTTGTAATTTTACCAGCCTACTTCAATGTTGATAGTATGTTTTGTCATTTGGGAAAATCTACACACATCAGTATGTTTTTCTTCCCATGTTCTCGTGCTACCTGTGGGAGGGTGCTGGAGAAAGGAAGGGGAAATGCGTACAAGATTGTTTTGAGCCTCTTCAGTCTACCATAAGGAATCCTTTTAAGCTCAATATCTAAATCTTCTCCCGATCCTGGCCTGGAACCTCCAGGACCTGATCTTGAATATCTATGGCACTCCCTGAGCGCGGGACTGGCTGGTAGCCCTGTGATATTGATTTGTTTTCACCATAGCAACAGCAAATTAAAACAACTAGCAGAGAGAAGGCCAGGCGGTTAATCAGTAAAGCTACATAACCAGTATTTTTCACAGGCATTTTTTTTTTTTCTCCATCCTCTTGTTTTCCCTCTTACTCACGCCACTTTCACAAATTTAATACAAAAGTTAAAGGAAAATAGCTGTAAATGTTGTGGGCACCACCAGGCCTGTGCCGGGAATAGTCTGGTTTGCACGGCTCCTAGTATGTGAGACTAGATAGATACAGAAAACGCCAACAACAGTGCTCTGATTCCTCGGAAATTGTGTGTTAGTCTAACACCCCTAGAAAAGTCACACAAGGACGAAGGAGCATGAAAGATTCTGTATAGATGACTATATATCTTAATACCCTAAGACATTTGCCTGTAGCTTTATTAATACCAAGGTTTTATCCCTTTGTACTTAAAATAGCTCATTGTGCCAAGAAACAAACAACTTTTTTTTTTTTTTTTTTGCACAAGATGAAGTTCTCTCAAAATGCTAGCATTATAAGGGAAAGTGGAGTAACTCTTACTCAATTCTATTAAGACAGAAAATTGAGGTAGCTCTTGCCCAAAGCTACACAAGTAGTTAGGAAGAGACACAAATTAGCCCTGGGAACTTCCAGAACTCCACCCTGTCCTAATCGAAATTCTTTCCTAAAAGGCTCCTTATTGCAAACTAACCTTCGTCCCAATCTCTGTGACCAAGGTTGCCACCTGTGACACCGTATTAACAGCCCGCAGTAGGGTATGTCCCTTCCTTCAACCCAGCTGGACTAGAAGACAGTGGTGGTGGCCACAGCTGCTTTTTACATAAAAGCAGCTGTTACCATCATCACAACCAGCCATGAACTTGGTGGCATAACCTACGTCCTGAATAATGGCTCTGGTGGAACCGGGCATGGGGCCAAGAGGACTGTCCACAGCGCTGGGCCGCGCCAAGGGAAGGGGAGCCAGAGAGAAGCCGTCGTTCTCCGCTCCCCACCCCCTCTGCTGTTTGCCAGTCCAGCCAGAACCCTGCAGAAAACCTGTGTTGACCTGCCCGATGGGACGCAGGTATGAGAAGATAGGCTATTAATGCCGGAGGAGCCGTTTAGGGTTTTAAAAAAGAAAAGGTTAAAATATGAAGACATAACTCAAGACCTGCCAACTGGGAGTTGGAAAGCTCCTGGCCAGGACATAAAGAAATATTCCTCTCTATGAGTCTGAATAATGGAGCGCACAGCAGAAATAGTTGGGAGATGACGTCAGAAGTTCTGGGCTAGTGTCCTGCACTTCTCCTTGAAAGTAAAAACAGTGGGTCTAGAAGAATCTACGTGGCATCGCCCTTATTTAAACGAGTACGACTACTCACAAAAGAGGCAGCTAGCTAAAGAAACTTCGTCTTATTTGAAGATGGTAAGAATGCCCTCCTTTTTTTGTTTTTACTTGATTGTTCCCAGCAGGCACATATTACTCAATTAACAAATATCTTTCCACTTCACCTTCGTCTTTTAAAGTGACGGGGATGTTTCCTGAAAAACACTGACGGTGGTGGTTGTCAGGCAAGTCAGATTTTTTTTTTCCTTTGCTCCAGTGCTTGCTAACTATTCTAAAAATGTTACACATTTATTGTAAACACATGCTCTCAAGGCCTAACAAAAAAGCACAGTTTCCTCATGCCTGGCAGAAATTTAAAACGGAAAAACGCAGAAAGGATTCTTTAACAAATATATCCTTTCCTTCTCCCGAGCAGAGTGTGTTAAAAATAAATCTTCTCCATCATTTCTCACTGCGGGTTCTCGGCAAGAAAGTTGATCTGGTTGGGCAGAGTGAAAACATGGCTTTAAAAGCTAGCCTGTCTTCATTAAATTATTCTGCTGGCTGTGTGTTCTCATTAAAAATGCATAAAGATCAGATAATTGCAGTAAGCATTATTAACCCAGCTTTACTTTTGAATATAATGGTTCCACTTTTAAGCTGGAAACAAAGAGTCAGACATGCTAGGAAAAGAAATGTAAACATTGAACTACAGTATCGAAAACTTGCCAGAAAGCTACCTCTTGCTAGGTTGTGAAAAATGTGCTTTTGAAACTCAGTGAAAGGCATAGCATTGTACAGCCAGGTAGGTCCCTAATTTCTAATAAATAGACTTTTTTTTTTTTTTGGCTAAACATTCAGTTGATGGTTATTTACCATGAAGCTTATTTTCTCTTAATTGCAGGTCTGTTTCCAAGTAATAAGAGCATTGTAGACTTTATCTATCTGGGAGCTAATTACAGCAGTATGAACATTTTCTATTAACAGGAAAATAAGGATGCTCCTAATAATTCAAACGACTCTTTAAAAATAATAAATGGATCTATTATTTGAATAAGGCTTCGGTTCTGTGCCTCACCCCAAACAGGCAGCTTAGATTCAAGCTTTGCCATTTCTTTTTTCTCAAATCCAAATGTTACATAAAACTCCAGGGTCTCCTGCAAGTACTACATCTGAATTAGTGGAATCCGGTTTCCCTGGCTTCCCTAAACAACACACAGGGAATGCAGCAGACTGCAGCAAACTCTTTAAACATTTTTTAAAAAGGGGGGGGGGGGATTCTCCTACCTTGTTTAGGTCTGTCTGTCCTTCTTATTTACAGTAACCCCAGGAAGAGATGGCAGAATCAGGTAGCCCAGGCTTCTCACTGCTTCAGGAGGAAGAAATGTCCATGTAAATAGTGCTCGTTCCCTGGTTATTGTACTCTGAGAGCCGTCTGCCGTATCTGGAAAATTTTGCCTTCAGATGATGAAGCAAAGACAGTCTAAACTCTGTTGCTGTAAGCTGCAGCCCTTCCTTCCGACAAATCCCTCCCAGCGGCGGCCAGCCAATCCCCAGCCAGTTCGTCGGCCCGAATAGGATGACTGACACAGCAACACAGCACTTGCAGTGTGTGAAAACAGTGCATCCATACTGATGCAAACGGAATTTCCCTCTCAGAAGAAAGCAATCATAGCACCAAGACAAAGTGGCATCTAATTGGCAGAGCAGAGAGAGGGGTAGCTCAAGAAAACACCCTTGAAGACAGCCAGCCCAGAGCCTGTGGCTGCATGCTAAATACTTTTGAAAATACAAAACTCGGCAGATTCGAAAGAAATCAAGGTTACACACGCACCTAAAGTCAGCACTCCATTTAACGAAGCTTTTTTTTTTTTTTTAAAGGAAAAACAATTCAGTGTCTGCTATGGAAATTAATACCTTACAAAACATTTACGTATGATTTTCATTATCTAGGGTGAATGTGTTAGCCCAAGTGAGTATTCGAAATCAAAACCTGCTTATCCCCCTAGAACACACAGTTTTACTGTACAACATCTGTTATCGCAGTGGTCAATTACTGTAGCCCATATATCTCTCATCTAAGTTTTCAGACCACTGCAGACTGCAATTAGGGAATGCTGAACAATAGAACTGATAACTATACATTACCCTTTTATGCTCTTGCCAGGCACCTAGGAGAGGATTAGGTGTGCCTTAACCGTCTTAGATGCCATTTGATAAATGCTGTGCATTGGCCCACGTTGTCATTAATGAAGAAATTATCACAGCGAGCTGTTTACTGCTGAATAGGCATGGCGCATGATCCAGGGGCCACCATTAGGCGCCACTCCACAAAGGATGTTCCAGGAAGTGCTGGGGTTCTGCAAGATACAGCAGGAAAAGAGAAATAGAAAGGTTACTAAGGGTTATCATTTTTTTCCAGCCAACAATATTCTCTCATGCTCTAAAAAAAACAAACCCATACGGTTATTGGAAAACACAAAGCACGTATATTTTCCTTCAACTAAACACAAAATTTTGAGGAAAATAGATTTAAAAGTGAGACGATTACATGACTAGTCCAAGGCAGGAACAAAGTCCCTAGTCATCTGAAAGGTTGAACCCAAACATTATTGTTTATGAGCAACTGTTCAGAGCATCTGTAATGAAGTAGCAGTTGGGTAGAATGGAATAGCTTCTTATTTGGCCAATTGCATTTTAAGAATACAATGTTTCTTATGATTGGCAGGCTATTTTCTTCAGTAGAATACCATATTTTATTTCCCTCAAGTTTTACCATACTCTTTTTCATCCCCATGTAAATCATTATAACTTGCAGGTTTTTGTCTAATTTTTCTAGAAATTTGAATGAGCTCTGTGTCAAACAAGTAGAAAATTATTTTTAAAATATTAATATGCTTAACAGATTAATGTTATACATTCTATAATTATACTTGCTGTTGTTAGGTGCCATTGAGTCGTTTGCAACTCATAGTGACCCCGTGTTACAGAGTTGAACTGCCCCGTAAGTTTTCCTAGGCTGAAATCTTACAGAAGCTGATCTCCAGGTCTTTCTCCTATGGAGCTGCTGGGTGGGTTCCAACTGTCAAGCTTTTGGTTAGCAGCTGTGCACTTAACTGTTGCACCACCGGGGCTGGTTAACAGATAATATTATCCACGTAAATGGAGGGTGACAGTCTATGATTCTTCTCTTCCAGATTTCTTCCTGGTTCTGACCTTCAAGCCTCCATTCCCTCTCGTTCCTGAAACGTTAGCCATCTTTGACTCATTCTCTCATTTTCGTCCAGTGAAAACTAATTTAGGTCTGGTTAATTTTTCTTCCCAGCTAGTCCAGAACTCTATTCTGCTACCTGGATAATTCCAGTGCTAACAGCCTGGCCTCTGAGACTCAGGTCTCCCCGGCTTCAAGCTTCTGTTGCCAGACAGGTTTTCCTGAGTCATGTAAAGTCACGTTCCTTTCATAAATGAATCCTTCTCTCTATAAAATCTGAATTACAGACTTGCAAAGGCCTTTGTAATCTGGCTCCTCCCTTTCTACTCAACTTTTTTTTCTCGAGTTGTTTTCCTAAATGAATTTCTGAGGGAGTCAAGCCCATTTCCGCCTCCAGGATCTAGCTCCCGCATTCCGTCCCCAGACTTTACTCACAAGACCTTCACTCAACAAAATCTTACGCAACCTTTAGATCTCAGCTCACCTTCCATTTCTTCTGCTCTATCTTCCCTGTCTACACCATCTTCTTTGATTTTCTCCTTTGAAATCATCCTACACTGGTCATTGTACCAGACCACTGAACTCTTAACAATGTACTTATATAGCTAGCTTGCCTGAGCTGATCTTCTCATTCCATAAGGCAAGGTTTCTGTAGTAGATTAATTAAGGCAATGTACATAAAGCATCTGTGCAATGACTGATACATGAAAAATGCTCACCAAATGATGACTATTCTTATTGTTTTAGGAGCCCTGGTGGCACAGTGGTTAAGAGCTTGGCTGCTAAGCAAAAGGTCAGTAGTTCGAACCCATCAGCGCTCCTTGGAAACTCAATGGGGCTGTTCTACTCTGTCCTATAGGGTCACTAGGAGTTGGAATCCACTCAACGGCATCTGGTTTGGTTTTATTCATATTGTTATTTTACATGGTTCGCCATGTTCAGCAAGGTGCCATGCACAAACTTGCTGAATTCATGATTCCTATCTAAAGAACTGATATAATTATCCCTCCAACTGCACAAGCCAAAAACCTGGCAGTCATTCTTGACACACACCTCCCCCTGCTCCATATGAAATGCATTATCAAAGTCGGTCAAGTTTGGCACTTGGTATTTAGAAATGTTTCACTTTGCTCCATCTCTATCAACAGCGTTGTCGAAGCTATCAGTGTTTTTCACTGTGACTGTTAAAATAACCTTGTGACTGGTCTCCTGCATTATTCTTGACCTCTTCAATCTTTTCTCCATATTTCCAAACCAGAAATACGATTCTTCCGCACGCCTTTGCAAAAGCTTTAAATGTCTTTGTATTGCTCTTAGGTTTCTATGGCCTTCAAGTCCCTGTATAATCTAGCCCCTACCTATCCCTTTAGGCTCATCAGAGGTCATTTCTTCAGAGACCGTTTTCCTACCACCAAGATGAGTTCAGATCCACTTATTATTTTCTCTCATAACACTGTGTACTTCACAACAGTGCTTCTCAAACTTTAATGTGCTTTCAAATCACCCAGAGATCTTGTTAAAATACAGAGCCCGTACCAGTAGTCCTTGGGTGAATCCTGAGATTCTGCATTTCTAACAAGCTCCCAGGTGATGCCGATTCTGCTGGTAGAGACATTGACCACATTTTGAGCAGCAAGATTTTAGACATATTGTTCACTTTACCTTCCCAGCTAGTTTGCCAGCTTCAGCAGTAACTGTTCTTTCCCTAGCATCCACTCCTGTTGAATGCATGAGTTCATCAATACAACGTCTTGCAGATCCAAGCTGGATTTTTCTCCTCTGTCTCCCCTTCATCCTTCTTTTTCTTCATTGATTTTTTTTTTTTTTTTTCTGTAACTTAATAGAAGTCCCTTGAAATTCTGGAAAGAAGTTTAGTGTTTACTGAAGTCAGTATGCTAAATTGGAAGGAGAATAGTTGACAAACCAAACATAGAGCAAGTATCAAGAAGATGATCCACTATGTCCAAAGTAATGGAAGTGGCCAAAGGAATTAAAAGATGACACCTTGAAATTTGTCTAATAGAAGTTGCCTATTTTCTTCTACATGTTGATGAATTCCAGGTTTAAAACGCCATCCCTTTTTCTTGACCGTTAGGCCCAAATCTTCACTTGAATGTACATAAATCACTCATTTTCAACTTGTCCCAAACTAAAATATTTTTTATTCTGCTGAAATCCATTTCTCTTACCACCATTTTTGATACCTCCTGCTCTCTTGCCATCAGCATCCAACCAGTCCCAAGTTCTGTAAATTCTAGCCGCTATCTCGTAAATTCACTCACTTTTCCCTACTTACACGGCTGTGTCCCTAATTCAAGTCCCCATCATCTTTTGCCTATCCTTGCCTCTCTGCCTGCAATCTTGCCCCTCCACTTCCACTCACCACACTGCAGCAAAATTGAGCTTTTATAAACACAAATGTTATCATGCCATTACCTGCATAAAGTCACTTGTGTCTCTCCATCATCTTTGGGATAATCTCCTGCCTAATTCTGGAGAATATACTCTCATCATCTAGTATGAGTAAACTAATTTTCATCCCTAGTTTATGTCATACCCGTTCTAATTTAGAATCTGGATTCTGACTGCATGAAACATATCCTACCTCTTTCACATCCATCTAACATCTTTCCATCCATTAACACTCAATGTGTGCACTACTCCTCCAGGAAGTCTTCCATGGCCACCATGACTTCCATGGAACCCTGATAAAGCATCATAGCAATTATCACAGTCTGTCGTAAATATATTTTACTTGTCTATGTCCCTCATCAGCATGTGTTTCTTATTCATCAGTTTATCCTCAGAATCCAAAACATAGAGTAGTTTAATAGCTTAAGCTTACCAAATAGTTGTTGAATGGTTAAATGGATAAATAACCCTGAAAATAGCACAAGTAATAAAGTGGCAAAGACAGATACAGGGCTCAAGCCAAAAAAAAAAAAAAAAAAATTGATAGACATGGAGACAATAAATGTATTCTATGTATTTTTACAAATTAGACTAGGGAAGGGGAAGGGGAAACCATATAAATGCAAAGAGACAATGCTGTTCTGACAGCATCTCCTTTGTTGGGTATACCAAAGGGAGCAAGCTTACAGGCAAGATGAAAAACCTGAGGAAAATTAATCTTTGATGATGTTTAAAATGGAGGGATTTCCATAAAAACAAGATCTTCCTTCAAATGTTCCTAGAACACAGGGAAGTGTTGACTTTCCAGAAGAGAGGACTAGAAAGGAGGAGAAGGCTGTTTACAGAAAGAGAAGAATGAGACAGAAAGGCGGATGGGCCTTGCGCATGACAGCTCAATCTTTGGGCTAATTTCTTTCCCAGAATAATATTTTTAGCCTCTGCCTCCTCACTTAGTCTTTTAGCATATACTGTTTTATTTTCCTCTGGTTGTTTT